AAGGTGTTAGGCACCTCTTAAAATCTACTTGAGGTAGCTCCATAGGACTTAGACTAATTTTAAGGGATCAGTTATTTATACTATGCTTAATTACCATTAAAAGCACGACTTTCTATATATATATATATATATATATATAAGGGAGGATTCTATGTTGTACGGCGAGATCGGGTTGTGCGCCACAACAACCTATGTGTTTCTATTTCCTTGAGCTGTGTTGGTTTTCAGTATTCTCACTTAAAACTCTAAGGATTGGTAATTTTGATCATCACTGGCTTATTTCTTGAGACTGTAGCTATTATTGTCAGTTGACTATCTTATTTTGTTCCGTATTTCCTTTTCTGTCTTTATTATATACTACGTACAGGTTGTAGTGTAGGTGACCTGCCTTAGCCTCGTCACTACTTCATCGAGGTTAGGTTCGGCACTTACAGAGTACATGGGGTTGATCGTACTCATATTACACTCTGCACTTCTTGTGCAGATTTTGGAGTCGGCCCCAGCGGCGGTTATTGGCGAGCTCAGATTGGACTACTTGCGGAGACTTGGGGTACAACTTCACAGCGCCCACAACTCCTGGAGTCCCCTCCCCTTTTTATTTAGCTGTGTACCTTCTTTTCATACATCTTTATGTTATTTCAGACCCTTATTTGTACTCTTCTAGTAGCTCGTGTACTTGTGACACCGGGTCTAGGGTTGTATAAGATGTTTGATTGTTTTAGCTTCCGCATTGATACTTTGGATTATTTCAGTTAATTTAGTTCTTTCCCGTCATTTAATTTAAATTGTTCTAAAGTTGGCTTGCCTAGCAAGTGAAATATTAGGCACCACCATGTTCCTGACGGTAGAAATTCTGGGTCGTGACATATATAGTAATTAAACAATACTGGGGAAGGGGAAAATATAATAAATTAATTTTTTTTTAAGAAAATAGGAAATAGATATATTAATAACTAAGGAACATCTAGTACATAGTCGACATGACTTGCATCTCGGAGGATGCATTTGTTTCCTAAGCTTGCTAGCCTATTAAAGTTTCATTACATAGAAGTTTTTTGTGACAAGTAGATTCAAGTTTGTCACTTTCAACAAAATCTGTTACATCAAAAGTTGGTACGACAAGAACTTTTTTAGTGGATTTCACTGTTTTACTTCTTCCTGCCAATCCCTGAGCTTGGCTATCCCTTTAAAGGACCCCTTTTGCTAGCTGGTGGGCAATCCTATTCCCCTGCCTAAAAGTATGCTAGAGAGTAACCCTCTGCTGGTGCATTAAGGACCTGCAATCATTAGCAGTTTTGTTAAATAATTTATTATCATTTTGTATTGCCTGGATAGCCTCTAAGCAGTCTGTCTCAATCTCAAGTGGGAAGAGATTCCATTCCTTTGTTGTTCTTAGCCCTTCTCGTAGTGCTTTTAATTTAGCTGCTAGGGAGCCATTTGCATGTGCTAGTTTTGCAAAACCAACCACCCAGCTACCTGTTGCATTTCTAAGAACACCGCCTAAATCACAATTTTTGTTATAGCTATGAAAACTGGCATCCACATTTAGTTTGTACCACCCCCAAAGGGGTTTGAACCAGTTGATTTTTATAAGGGATTTGGGAGGATTAATAGAGGATTTTTTCATGAAAAGTTTAAACTCCACTGCCTTTTGCATGATTTCGGAACCTCTTATTTGGTTGGTAGTGTTGTTGATGTTATTACTGTTTCTATTAATCTAGATATGCCAGATGATGAAGGGAAAAAAGTTATTCCAGTTTATAAAGTTATGGTTTATAGGAATGTTGGAGTCCCTTATTTGGAGAAGCCAGTGCTTCCCACTTCCGTTGATAGGGTGGGTCCCTTGCAGGCCGCTCCAGAGATTACTGACAGCTCTACAGTCAAGGAAGATATGTTCAATTGACTCTTCAATAGGGTTTTTACAGATGGGACAATTAGAATCAATGTTTAGTCCAATAT